TTTTTTTATTTGTTGTTTGTTTTTGGTTTTTTTTGTTTTGTATGGGGGTGATCTTAAGAGAAGAAATAAAAGAAAATGGAAAAAGGAATATATTAAGAAAGAACTTATCTCAGATTGTTGTTCATTCGTTTCAGTCATGTCCAACTCTTCGTGACCCCATTTGGGTTTTTCTTTGCAAAGATACTGGAGTGGTTTGCCATTTTCTTCTTCAGCTCATTTTACAGATGAGGAAACTGAGGCAAACAGGGTTAAGTGACTTGCCCAGGGTCACACAGCTAGTAAGTATCTGATGCCAGATTTGAACTCGGGTCTTCCTTGACTCCATGCTCAGCACTTTATCAACTTTATCACCTAGCTGCCCACAGATTATTGGTGTGCAAATAAAATTATATAAACATGCAGGAAGTAGTAGGGAAATATATAATATATGAACCTCACTTTAATGTGAACCAGACAAAGAAAGGTAGAACACATTCACATCTGCCCAGAGTTGGTACAGAAATATGTTAGACTAAAACAGGAAACAGGAGAGAATTCAGAGAAGTGAAAAAGCAGGAAGAAGGGTAGATTCAAGAAAGAGTCAAAAGCAAATCAAGCTTCAGCCTCAAGGGGTGCATAATAAAGGAAAGTGTCAAAGGGAAGGAAGGAAGGTAAGTACCTGTGATTTGGGTTTGGGCAAGTAGAAGATAAATGGGACTGTGAAATGAAGTGGAAGCGAATTTCATCAAGTGTAGATCACTAGTATTGAGCACACTCTTCATCCTTCTTTGTAAGGAGAGGGACAGTGAGTAAACAAAGAAAACTTTACAAGAGAATAGAATGTAGAAGAATATACAAATGGCAAATTATAACCATAAACATAAATAGTGTTAACTCACCCATTAAAAAAAAGAGGACAGCAGAAGAAACAATTGGGGCACAAAAAACTCATTAACCAATTCAGAAAAACAGAAATATTAATCATATTTTCTACTTACCACAGCACGAAAATTATAATCAATGAAGGGTATTTGAAGAAAGAACTCAAACTTAATTGGATACTAAGTAATAAAGTTCTGTTTGCCAAAGAACTAATCACAGAAACAACAGATAACTTTACCAAACAAAATTACAACATAAACAACATAAATAAAACTTTTCAAATATAGCCAAGGCATTTCTTATAGTAAAATTTATGTTTCTATATACATTCATCAGAAAAGAGGGGGGTGGTTCAATGAATTGGGCATGTAATTAAAAAGCCTAGACAAAAATCAGTTGTTTAAATGAACACAAGAATAAGAATTTTTAAAATCAAAGAAGAGAGAAACAAAAATTTAAACAAACCATGGAATAATAGAAAAATAAAAGTAGGAGCTGTTTTTTTTAATACTCATAGCTAAACAATTAGTGAATTTTAAAGATGAGAGGAAAACCAAATTACTAAACTTGAAAATTGAGAATTCACAACAAATGAAGAAATAAAGGAAAGACTGAGAAAATATTTTATCTAATTATATGCCGTCAAAACCAGTAAATTAAATGTAACAAATGAATATTTACAAAAATATGTCCCTACAGTAATTGGATAAGAAATAGAGAATTTTAATGGCCTAATCTTAGGGGGAAAAAAAAGAAATTGAACAAATTATAAATGTACTCCCAAAGAAAGAAAACTCAGTTTCTGATCGGTTTACAAGTGAATGTTTATCAAGTATTCAAAAAACAATTAACTCCAACTTTGAGAGAGGAGAGAGGTAGCAATCTAATACTAATCTCTTTTTATTAGACAAATATATTTTTGTTATACAGACCAGGGATAGATAAAGCAAGAAGGAAAGTATTTCCAATTAATAGCAAGATAGCGTTCTTGAATAAAATATTAGCAAAGGAGCTATAGGAGAATACTGTAAAAGTTGTACACTATGACCTGGTCAGATTTGTACTTGAAATGCAATATTATTTCACCCTTAGAAAAACTATAAACATAATAGACCACATTAATAATAAAAATTACATGATTTATATCAATATATTCAGAAAAAGCTTTTGACAAATTGCAGTTGATAAAAAGAAATTATAAGATGTAAGATTAAATGGACCTTTTATCATTATAATAAGTGGTGTCTTAGATCTAAAACCAGTAACTGACTGTGAGAGTGCAGGGACACTAATACATTATTGGTGGAGTTGTGAAATGACCCAATTAACTGTTAAGAAATTTGGAGCTAAATGTGAAAGTCACTTTACTATATTTATATTCTCTTTGTCCTAGTGATATACTAGTATTTGGCATATCCCCCAAAGAGATCAAGAGGGAAACGACCCAGCAGATAAAGGCACTTTTTGTTGTAGCAAAGAACTAGAAACTGCTGTGTGTCCATCATTTGGGAAATAGTCAAACAAATCTTGATATATAAATAAATGGAATATCATTGTGTCGTAAGAAATCACTATTTGAACAAATTCAGAGAAACCTGGGAAGACATACGAACTAATGTAGATTGAAGTCAATAGACTTAGGAGAACAGTGTACGCTATGACTACAATGAATTTAATAACTCTGATTATTAGTGTCTAATCATGCTGCAGAAGACTTAACAATGTTTCAGATCATGCATTCCTCATTTTGGCATAGAGGACCGGAGGTACAGGAAGAGATAATTTCAGACATGGCTCATGCTTTCATTGTTTTTTGCTTAACTCTGCTTTTTTATTTCAAGAGTTCTCTGTGGGGAGGGGGAACATGATTAGAATATGTATTTAATAATAGTGAAACACGAAAGGAAAAAGTATTAATGAAACATTAGAAAAATACCCAGAAGGGAGCAGAAATAAGTCTAGAAGGCAGCAAATATGCTGCCTATTCATTGTGTTAATACCATGTTAAATTTAATGTACACTTTTTAAAAAATTGTACATAATAACTGTTTTCTATTCTTTACAGATCAACATATTCATGTTTGATATCTAAGTTCTTATTTTTTTAAATAGACTACTTTCTATAAGTAATAGAAGAAGTTATAGTATCATAGATGTTATCATAGATGTTACTGATCATTTAGTCTAGTCTTCGTTTTACAAATGAAAAAACTGAGGCTCCAGAGAGATTAAATGTGTTTGTCCACAAGTAGGAAGTAGCAGAGTCAGCATTCAAGCACCAGTCGTCTTTACATTGCATTGCCTTATCTCCATACTAAAACCATATTAACCTTGTTAATTATCTCAGTCTCTGTCCCTTACCTCTCACCTTCACTAGGTATTTCCAAATTCCTACGAGTACTTTTACTAAAATGTCCCATTATCTCCTCAGATTCATTATGTCTATCATTTTCAAATACAAACTGCATCCCTTACCCAGCTGTATTATTTTTATCACTGAAATCATAACAATTCTGTTCTCCCTGACTTTCTTACTTTAAAAAAAAATGTTACCAGTGCCTTTTGTTTTTAAACCACAGAGAAGAACCAAACCACATAACAACTGCATCTGATGTGACATTCTGCTCCAGAATATTCATCCATTAACCAAGAGGAAGAAAATATTTCATCATCCATTCTCTGGAACCAAAATCACTCATTTTAATTTATTTGAGTTTAGTTGCACTTGTGTTATTTCATTTATATTATTCTGGGGTGGATGAAGGGCTGTTCATGTGTGTGTGCATGCACAAGTGTTAATTCCTCTCCCTTTTTTGTTTACTTTATACATATCTTCCTTATTTCTCTGAATTCCTTATACTAATCACTTATTAGAATGTAATGGCATTCCATTAGATTCAACCTCTTTGTTCAGACATCACTCAAATGATGAACACTCACTGTGGTTCAGATTTTTATTACAGTTAACAGTGGTGCTATGAATATGTCTTTGTCATTCTTCAGGTAAATGCCTATTGTGGGTATGAAGTTACTGATTTTTGTTAATAATTACAGATTATTTTATAAAAACAATTGGACTAGTTCACAGCTTTACTAATAACCCTAGTCCGACGAAACAAGCGTTTTTCAGTACCTGTTATGTACAAGGTACTGTGCTCAGTACTAGGGATACAAAGAGTCATTTGATCAGGGCCCCGAAAGGTTCTTTTTCTCCTGTAGCATCAAGTCCTGCCTCCTTTTCAAGGTCCTTTGTAATCTGGCTCCAATGTGTCTTCTCCAAATACTATAAACAAATTCTTCTTTGAATTATTGCATTTGCAGTCAGTATTATGCCCATCCTCTCATTATTGAATATCACTTGGTCTTGTCTTCCTATGCCCTACTTTAGGCCAGGGACCATGTCTTTACACTTATTTTGTATTTCCTTTGATTCCAGGTACAATCCAATTAAATGTAATAGACATCTGATAAATATTTATTTTAGATTATTTTTAAAGTCTGTATTTAATATTTATCTTGAATTATATGGATTTCTTTTGAACTAATTTCAGGATATACTATCAATGGATACAGTTCAGTTTCTCAATGAATAAATCAGTTCATTGGTTGAACAGAAATTGTCCCTTTAGTAAAGTAGCAGTTAAATTAGTTTTAAAACTGTGATTCTTAATACCTTTTACTCCATTTTTTCATTACTCTCACTGGAGAAGGGAAAAAGGGTCATTTGGTATTAAAGTAAATTTTTTCCTTTTGTCTATTTCATATTTGTCCATTTCTTAAAAAAATAAATAAAAATCATTTCTTAGGTTAACATTCTGATTGTAAACATTTCGGATGAATAAAAAACTAGCTCCAGAATTGGGGAAGAGTCCCAGCTGGATTACTGTTTGGAAATTTAATGCTTTAAGTGATTTTGTCCCTGCAAAATCCCATCTCACTACCAGTTAAGATATTGACAAACATGAAAGATGGCTTGACTAATGAAGAAAACATAAACTAAGTTAGTACAATATGTTTAATGAGCTTTAAACTCACTGTTGTAGGACTTTGGTAGATTTTATTTTGCTTTTATTAATTTATTTTAATCCTCAAACTATCATCATCAAATGGCTAACAGTGCACTTTTTAAAAATATACAGCCAGATTCTACAGCAACTGAAAGAGCAATTGCTAGACTAGCTACACATCCATTACTGAAGAAAAAAATAGATGCACTGAAAGGTATGAATTAAATTGTTTCACAGTTCATATGTGTCTATATAATCATGTTCTATTTGGAAATATTTCTCTGCTGTTATAAATATAATGAACTTCATGATTTATTTCAAGTCACGTTGTTTCCAAATGATTGTAATGGCTGAAGTCTTTAATTTTTTTTTTTTCAAATCTCATATTTTACTAATAGAATAGTGACTGATAGATAGCTACACACACTCAGTTTGACTGACATAATCATATCATTTTGTATATATCACAGTCATATTATATTGCGGTGTATAAAATGTGTTTTTCAAAATTAAATAAATTGAAAAGATATGATGGCATCTAGCACTGGCATTAATGGTTAAAGAATTTACTTTTTTTCTGTTATTTCAATTATTTCTATAAAAATTCAAATGCTATTTCTATTTGGCTTAAACTCAGTCAAGTTTGAACCCTTAACTTGTATCTCTTTATTTAAAAAGAATTGTAGACATTTTACTGTAAATTTTAAAGATTTCAGTGAATAGGATTAAGTATAATGTCTGTAAAGAGTTTTCCGAATTCAAGAAACTTACTGTCTGCCTCATATGTCTAATATAATGCCCTATCCTAAGTAATGTGTTTCTAAGTAATGTAAAAAGCACTTCTAAGTGTTTCCAAGTAATGTAAAAAGTACTTGACCTTTGAAGTTTTATAACGTATGTGTCTCAAATTGCTTGTTTTACTTTTCTGTAGATGCTGTCAAAGCATTTAAAGATTCAAGACAGAATATTACTGAAGTTGAATCATTGAAGAATTCTTCAGAAGAAAATTACAGTGAGGACACAGGAATAAAGCAGAGCTCTCCTGACAATTTGAATGAATTCGAGCACCAAGAAAGTACAGTAAAAAAGGAAGAAAATGTTAAAACGTTATCAAAGAAGCCGAACACACTTCAAAAAAAAATTGGTAAGATGGCAGACAAGCAGAAAATAGGGATTCCTCCACCTATGGCATTAAAACCTTCTCAGGAACCTTCTCTGAATGCTTTTGAAACCCAAAATACAGATAGGAAAAATCTTGCCGTCACCAACAAGACAAATAGAACAAAAATTTCTACCATCATCACTAATGATAGCAGTGATGTGGAAGAACAGAGTGAAGGAGAGAAAGAATATTTTGATGATAGCACAGAAGAAAGATTTTACAAACAGTCTTCGCTGTCTGAAGATAGTGATAGTGATGATGATTTCTTTATTGGGAAAGTTAAGAGGACCAGAAAGAAGGAAAATAGCTGCTGTTCTTCAGTTAAGGACCAAAAGACTTCCCAAAAAGTGTCACCTGAAAAAGAAAAGCTTGAGAAACTGGAGAGGATGGAGAAAATGAAGCCAACTACAAAAGCCAGGAGGCTAGAATCAACATTTTTTTTTTCTTTATCTGAATCCAGAAGGACAAGAAGGTAAAGCCATTTTCCTGTACTGAAATAACAATCAGAGTTCTCCTTGTTTTATTTAGACACAGCTGCACAAATAAATAGTATTAGCAAATTGTATGAATGTTAAAAGTCTATGGAAGTTTCATGGGGGTTTCTGTTTAAGGTACCTATAACCAAATACACACTAGCACATCCCCTTTGTAGAGTTTTGCTCTGTCATTTTTCCAGTCATTTTTATGGAATTGTTTATATTACAGTAATGTATGCAGATATGTATTCAATAGTGTCTCAGTTATCCAGTATCATTTAAGTGATTTTTTTCACTTAACTAAACCTTAGCCCTTTAAATACCCAAACTTTAAAAATTCTGTTTATAATGAAAACCTTTGTAAAATGTGTTAAATGTTTACTTTGCCTTTATCAAGAGTGTATACCGAGAAGAATGTAAGCATTTTTTATAAATCATGGTCTTCATTATAAACATCAGTTATTGCAAGTGTTATGAGAAAGGGCCTGATGTAAAGTTCTACTCCTGTGCCTCATTGTGGCGTTGATATTACCTTGGGTGGAACCATAGAAAGTTATTTTGCCATGTTTTGCTAGTACTTTGCTTAAAGTAATTTCTTTTTAATGCCTCATCGTGGCACGAAGGTGATTCTGGAGGCCTTGCCAACAGAGCACATGCTCTGGCAACTGTCTCTTCTGGAAAGACTTCTACTATATGGGAGACAGACAACATGAAACTATATGTTCTTCTAAGACAATAATACACCAGTGAAAATATTGATCTTTTAAAAGTGAAGTAATTCAAAGATGAGAGACTGTTGAGTTAGGAAGATGCTGTTTGTCCTTACCATATTAAGTGACCTCTAACTGCAGATTATTGACTGTGCTAATAAATGTCATTTCTTAATATTTCAGGTTCTAGCAACTCCCCTTTCATATTGGTTTTAATCTGCTGTCTTATTGTAACCTATGAGAAAACTGAATAGTATTTGTTACATCATTGATTTTCCATGCAATTCTCCAGCTCCCTCAAAGTTGATAGTGGTGCCATTCTTCTCTGCTTTTGAGCTTTGTTAGAACTGCTTTCCTCGGGAGTTTTATTTCTCATAATTCAAGGTTGGAGAGTGATCTCTGAATGGGAAAGATTTCAAAAATGGAAAAGTGTGGCATGGCATGCTGTATGTTAACTATTGTTGGAGTTTTCTAATGAAACGAATGTTGAAGAGGTAGTATTTCACAGTGGATAGGGTATTCACTGTACCTAGAATCAGGAAAACTCACCTCCAAACCTGCTTCTGACACTTAGTAGCTGTATGACCCTGGGCAAGTCAAATAGCCTCTCATGTTTCAATATGTCAGGGTTAAATTTGCTGGTCTTCTGAAGATCCTTCTGAAGCTCCAAATCTATGATCCATTAATCATATAAAATATATTTGCCTTCCATTTATCTCATAAACCTGTCTCACTTTTGAGACCAGTAGGAAGCAAGAAGTTCAAAGACATAATTTAAAATTATTTTCTTAACTGAAAATAGCATACCACTTGATTGCAGTTGTTTGTTGGTGTTAGTTGTGACCAGTCATACTACCTTCTCCTTCCTGTGTTCTCTCAGATTCCCCAAAATATGAACACCAGGTCAGGAATGTCCTTTACATATGAACAACCTCCCTGACAACTTCCTGCTATGGCAGGGGACCTTGCTTCCTGCCAAGATACTGTCTGTGACTGTAGTAAGAGATGTGCTGGCATGTCTTTCCTGTTGGAACCCAAAACATATGTTCCCCTTTAAAAAAAATAAAACTACTATAAATGATAGTTTCCCAGATTATTGTATTCACACACACACACACACACATACACACACGCACACGCATTTGCAGCAGTGTTGCTTTTCTAATTCGTTTCTTGGTGTTTTCTTAGGGGAAAGGGAACAATTATAGCCATAGTATTTCGGCTAAAATACTATATTACTATATATATATATATTATATAGAACTAAATACTAGTATTTCAGCTACTGTATTTCAGTATTACAGCTGTAGTGTAGCAATAGTATATGTTTTGACTTGTGTGACATAGCCTAGAAACCTAAGTGCTATCTCTAACATTGCTTATATGGGAAAATGAATTTCATGTTGCCAACTGTGGTATACCATGCAAAAAGTGCTGATCTAGGAGTGGAGACCTAGATTTGATTCCTTGCACACGCTCTCTCTCTCTCTCTCTCTCTCTCATTGTCTCTCTCTCTCTCTCTCTCTCTCTCTCTCTCTCTCTCTCTCTCTCTCACACACACACACACACACACACACACACACACAATCTGTGTAATCACAGGCAGGTCCCTTAACCTCATAGACTCAGTTTCTATATATGCAAAAATAAGCATAATAATAGTTGTTCCACCTGCCTCCCAGGCCCTATAAATGTGAATTATGCCTACTCCAGTACTAAACGTTTTAAAATGTGGAAGAGTTGTTTTAGTTTTAAAGAATATATGAAAAACAAGGTAATCACATTTTAATGCTAGAAAGAAATAAAACTGATTTTTTCCTAATCTTGCCATAACAACGGAAATCTTTTTGTTGAATAGATATCACCTGACAGTAAAATTCCTTGGCTTTTGCTTCACTCCCCATATTTAACTTTGAAGAGTTTTTAAAGATAGAATTTTGTACTGCCTTACATTCAGCATTTTGTGATCATTTTTGTTACTCATATCTTTTAAAAAATCTAGCTCTTTATTTTTCTCTTAAAAATGATAATGTAATTTTTTTTTCCTTTTAGAAATGCCAGAGAACAGTTTCCTCAAAACAGAATTCCAGGTATGTATGAATTGTCTATACTGAGGCAAAGTGACAATAAAAATCTCAGTGGTTTTAAAGACAAAGTATGGTTTTATTTGTTTCACTTTGATTTTGTCGAAAAGAGTGTGAATATTTCTAAAAAAAAATATATGTATTTTTATATCCCAGAGTATTGATTTGTGTTATGGAAATTATTCACTTGCTCTTACCTCATAATAAGATTGATTTATTTGGTACTGAATATTTGGGAGTAAGTTTTGTATTCATTATCATTTATGTGATTATATTTGTGTTTGACTAAATGACCTCTAAGGTCCCTTCTAGCTGCAAAGCTTTTAATTTTTATATTATGTGATGCAAAATATATTGTATAGCCTTCATGCTTTCTCTTTTGTCCTGTCTATAACCTCATTTTGCCATAGACAAGAATGCTTCTTTTTTGGATGGATGTATTTTTCCTCTCAGTAAAAAAGATTTGAGGAATAAAGTTGTCATGTATAGTGTTAAGTATCTCCAGGCAGATGGCCTTTCTGTAATGGTGATTAAAGGAAAATGGAGTGATGAACCATTATCTATTGGATAAGATACAGAGTATTTAGATTGAGATCTCCAGAATCTAGTTGCCACCTTTTCAGCATTATTTCATAATACTCCAGCCATTCTCTCACCCTACCCTTTCAACTTCCATGCACTTTTTAAAAAATATTTTTATTTAAAGTTTTGAGTTCCAAATTCTATCCCTCCCTAAACCCTTTCTGAAATATAAACAATCAGATATAGGTTATACATGTGCAATCATGTACAACATTTCCATGTTAGTCATTCTGTATAAGAAGACTTGAGTAAAAGAAAAAAAATGAAAGAAAGTGAAAAATAACATACTTCAGTCTGTATTCAGTCAGTATCAGTTCTTTCTCTGGAGGCAGATAGTATGCTTCATCATTAGTCTTTTGGGATAGTCTTGGGTTGTTGTATTGCTAAGAATAGCTAAGTCTTTATGGACTTACAGAAAAACTTTCACAGTTCTTCATCAAATAGTATTGCTGTTACTATGTACAACGTTCTCCTGGTTCTGTTCACTTCACTGTGCATCAGGGTCACATATCTGATGACTGGAAGGCTGATGGTGCCCTCATCAGTAGTGGGAACATCAGAAGAAGGATAGTTTTGTGGATAAAGATAATGACTTCTGCTTTGTGGAGTTTAAGATGCCTTCAGCATATCCAGTTGCAAATGTAGATGAAGCAGTTCTTGACGTGGGACTGGAACACAAGATTGAAACTGGAACTAGATATACTGACTTGCTAGGATGATAATTGAACCCATACAAGCCAGTTGAGTCACAGAGAGGGTGAGAGCAGCATTTGCTGGTAAATGTTTGACAGCTGACTCTCCAAAAGAAAAAAACCACACTTTTATTTTCATTAATATTAATAAAATATTAATATTTCTTCCTCACTTTCTTGACAATAAATCAAATCCTGAGTTGTAACATTTGCTGATTTCCAAGGTGCAAATGCTCACTGGAAGTTTAACAGCTGGATTTCACAAGCAAATACAAGCTGGCTCTACCACAACCCTGATTTAGAAATAGGAAGGGAAACAATCCAGAAGTCTTAGGATATACCTACAGTTAAGGAGCTAGACACAGTTAAAGATATAGCAAAGGAAGCACCAAATGGGTAGGAGAACCAATAAAGAACAGAATCAAGAAAAATGAGAAAGAAAGTGGCCATCTTGATGTCAAATGCTGCAGAGAGTCAAGAAGGATGCAGAATGAGAAACAGCCAAAGGTTTTGATAATTAAGAATTCATTGCTAACTTTGGATAAAACAATTTCAATTGAATGATATGGTAGGAAGAGAGAATGCAAAGGGTTGATATGTGAAAGAAAAGAAGGTCTAGAGGTGACCAGTATAAACACCTTTTCCTGAATGTTTGACTCTGAAAGAGGGGAGGATGAGAGATCTGGACTGTTCCAAGTATTTCTGTACATGTCTTCTCTCCCTACTAGATTGCAACCACTTTGAACACAGGAACTGTATGTGTGTATGTAGTATGTATATATACATATTTATGTATTACATGCATATGTGTGTTACATACATATGTATACATTGTATGGCATACATATATGTATGTGCATACATGACATATAGTATCTTTACCTGACTTCCATTCTTTTGTCTCTTCCTGTCTCTCTCCCCCTACCTAGCTTTTCAACAAAACGAACCTCAGATCAAGAATCACCTTGACAGGAGTATGTATACAAAGCCTGAAAATAAGAAACAGCAATTACAGCAGCCGCTTCATCCTTCTTGGGAAGCAAGCCGGAAACGAAAAGAACAGATGTCTAAAATTGCAGTATTTCAAGGGAAAAAAATTACATTTGATGATGACTAGTGGTTTGTTTTTTGTTTTTGTTTTTTTTTGGTGAATTTTTACATTAGTTAAGAAGATTTCCCTATTTGTGTGATCTATTTTAGACTATTTTTACTTTTTATTTTTGTCCCTTTTTTGTCTGAATACTTTTAGGAAGCAAGAGGTTTTTTTTCCCATTTTAATTCCAGTAACTTTATAATTGAGTTTGTGTACATACATATATATGGTATACATCTGCTAATTAAATTGCATTTTAAAATAATGATTATTATAATAATGCCTGTAAGAAAATAAAATAGCATGTTCTTGAAAAGTCTTCATCACCTAACATTTAGCTATTTCATATTTAAAATATTTTTGCATTGTACTTTTTATCTCAGATTATACTAGTTTTATTTATCATGGACACTTTCATTTGTTTAGTTCTCTTAAAAGCAAATATGGGGGGATAAATTGAAAAACAATATAAAAACATGGAAAATTAACTCACTTTTAAGAGAACAGTCATAAAACAATTTTTAAAAGTTAATCCTGTTATCAAAACTAAAAATATTCAAGTTGTCACATCCATGAAATTAATGTTTATATATTATACTTTGAGGAAGTTAAAAATGCAGTCCATATTTTTTATTTCCTTTGGTTTTCTGTGGTGTTCAGGTTCTCACTCCAAACACTTTAGATAAACATTTGAATCCAAACAAAAAAAATGTTTTCTTTAATTTTTAAACTCATCAACAGTAAGATTCTTTTAATTCAGAAATCCTTTGCTTATAACTAATGGGCCATATCCTCTTAGAAAAACATTCACTGAAGTACAATATAATAGGAGATAAATTTCAGAATAGATTAAAATTGGATAATTACTTCCACTTTCAAGTTGACCAAGGACAGACTACTGAGATTACTCACTAAAAAGGGTACTACTACTGAAAATGCTATAAGTTTTATTATTTAGTAGGAAACCCCCACCCCCAACAAATGCCTTAAGGATTTTTTTTCTGGGAGAAATGAGAAGTTCTTGGTTAACTGAATAACAAGCATGATCAATTCCATATGTACTAAGAGTTTACACTGCACTTATGGCAAGAAAAGCCATCTGGTGAGCAGGAAATTCATGAGCTCTGAAAAGTTATTTCTACCTTTCATTATGAACTTAACGACTTAAATATTTAACTAAGGACATAGGGACTACAGAAATGTTCCAGAAAATGTAAGCTCTAATGAGCTACATTTGTAGATTTGTTATGCTGAGAGGCAAAAACATGATGGAAAGACCATCAGTGTCAGAGAACAAAAATGCAGAATACTTATTATCTTGTATTATCCTGTCTCCTCCCTTTGGCCACTATTCCCAAATTCCCTCTACTTCACCTCTCCTTACTCCCCCATCAAAAGGTCACTTTTATTTTATGGACAAGTTTTAAGTGTTTGGGCTAAGAAGAACTATTAGTTTGGAGTTTAGCATGCATGGGATTTTGGGATAAGGGGCATCTCCAAAGTATGATACTGTTTAACAAAGATTCTATTCAGGTAAGCCTTCAGCTACACTCCTATTTGTTTTGATCTGTATCATTACCACTCCCTTCTGTTATTTAATGTGCCTGAATTTAATATCATGGATAGCACAGGCCTGGGAGACAGTTATTTACAGTCATTTCTCACATCTACAAGTATTATTCACAAATTAGAAGTGTCTAGCACCAAATTTGTACAGACCTGTAGTGAATTTGGATTTCAGTGGATTTTAGTCATATTTCTTGTGTCCAGTCTGTTCTCCAGTACATTGAATGAAACACTGCACCTGCCTCTTTGAGTGGGCCTATATGAGGGTAGTTGCAAAAGTTCTGAAAAATTCAGAGCATGTTTAGGACCATATAATCAAAGCATTCTGCAGTCCCTAAGTACCCTGTGACCATACGTGGTAATACTCTTTGCATTTTGGAACATGTGTTTCTCTTCTAGGAAAACTTGTTTTAAGAAAAAGCCATCCTTCTGTATGTTATGTTCAGTACAAAATAATTTTGTTGTTTTTCAACAAAGATAGACAAAATTCTGTACATGAAGAAGAGCTGTTTGTTATTATTCCCAAATTCAACAATACCCCTTCCCCAAATATTTAGTTTTTCCAATTTTAACAAATAAAGGAGAATAGTTTAGTCTGTCTTAATAGCTGCCATCAGTTCCATGAGTTAAAAGTATCTTTTGTGTTTTGCGCTAAAAAGTACTCTTCAGTATTTTTTGATTTGCATTTTCAATGACTTGAGTTTGTATTCTTTAAGAGTATTCCTTTACATGACAGTGTTTATCAAGTATAGAAAACATTCTAGCAGTTCAAAACATTGAAAAACTTACAGTTGAACTATATGAAATGTGTTCTAGTATGGTATACAAAACATAACTATCCTGATAACAAAGTGTCCTTTTAATTCTTCCTTTATATTGTGGCAGGATTTTTTTAAACATGTATTAAATTAATTTCACATGCTTTTGCATTTTTTTAAACTAATGCTTTGAGAGGCATTAGCAAAGTCACAGTTCCCTTGAAATTGGGGTTATGTGAATATATGTTTGCATAGGACATGTAATTCATATAATGTGTATGTTATATGTGACACTAAATATATTAATTTTTTTTAATATTTACATAAGAGACACAGTGGATAGTTAGCATTGGAGTCAGGAAGACCTGAATTCAAGCCCTGCATCTGACACATGCTGCCCTTGTGACCCTTGATAAATTCATTTAAGTTCTCCTTGCCCTGGGCAACTCTCCAAGACTATGAGTTGCAGAGAAGGATCTGACCTGTGTTAATAGAGGAAGTTTCCTATGCTTATGAAATCACTGATCCATTCTCTGTCTTCATATTTCCACATAGAATACAGAGTGTGCAGCAATCATATAACATCTGTATGTTTCACATGCAAATAATCCTGTTTTGAGTTCTTGACACAAAACAATATTTATCAATGACATACATAATAGCTATAGTTTTTTCCCACCCTATCTGTCCCCTTCTGCCTCCTTACCTTTCAGGGCAGTGGAGCTAGTAAGGGAAGAGAAAAGGAAATAGTAATATTAATAGAATAATAGAGCTAAAAAAGAAGCCATCTAGTCCAGTCCTCTCATTTTCTTTTCTTTTTTTTTTTTTTTTTTTGGTGAGGTAATTGGGGTTAATGACTTGCTCAGGGTCACACAACTAGTAAGTGTAACATGTCTAGTCTGAGAACAGATTTGAACTTTGGTCCTCCTGACTCCAGGGCCAGTGCTCTATCCACTGTGCCACCTAGCTGCCCCTCTCTCATTTTACAGATGAAAAAATTGACTTCTCCTAGCTCCCCAGGTTAAGTGAATTGTCCAAGCCCATATGGGTAATAGGCATAGTCTAAACTTAGTCCCAGGTTCTCTGACCTCATATCCAATATTCTGTTTAGCCCACCATGTTGTCTTCTATTTTGTATTAAAACAAAGCTATGCCCTCAGTAAAGTGTTTGCCTGGAATTTTTCAGTCTACGCTTCTGATACAGAAATTCCACCACTGATTCAGGGCAGCAACACTTCTATTAATTTTTAATCATGGAGAGTTGCTTAGCATACTGAGTGGCTGAATGACCGTGGTCATATAGTGAATACAAGTCAATCGGTGAGATATATATATATATACACATACACACACATACATATATATACATATGAATAGATGTATTGCACACATGTTCATATGTATATAAATATATATGCCTAGTTATTTTCCAGCTTGTCTCCCCCATTAGAATGTTAACTCCTTGAAGGCAGAGACAGTTTTTGTTTTTCTTTATATCATAGCCTTTAGCACCACATCTAATGTATAGTAAGCACTTAAAAATGATTTTTTTTACTGTCATTTTAAATTTTGTACATGTGATGTCAACTGTTTACAAGAAGATGTTTAATATTCAGACAAAAATTTCAAGCATACTTTGAAAAGTGAATGTTTTGAATACTTAGTTCCTTTGTATCTCAGGGTTCCTAACTGAAAACAAAAGTTTTCACCCACCTTGAGATCATTTTGAAAAAAATATTCTGTGAATTCGAAGTGTCCTGTAAATTGTTTTAATTTGCACATGTCTACTTGATTTCTCTTTAGTTAAATTAGCTATACAAGATTTTATTTAACTTAGAACATAGCCATGTAATGGCAAGGTTTATACCATAAAATACTGCAGTTATACTAAAAATAACTCTGAAACAATCCACTTAATCCCATCTTCATTAATCATTGTACAAGGTACTAATCTACTGAAAGTACATGATTAAAATAAAAATAAGCCACAGAACTAAAAATCTGGGTTCAGTTTGTCAATGAAAAAGTAAAATACAATGAAACTTGAGTTATCACTTTAGCTTCTGAAATTATATTTGCTGCAAATAGTTAAATAGAACTTCAAAAAATCTATCCTGTAGAGGGCAAAAATTGCATTGCCTCCATATCAGTTGGAAAGGTGAAAATCCTATACTGGTTCTATTTGTTGTCATTAACATTCTATGATCTTAGACTTTGTTTTTATGCTTTGCTTTGTATTTCCTAGAAAGCAGTCTCCTTTACTCTTGCCCCAAATTCTTAAAGCAGGCATGTATCACTTCCCCCAAGTTTCTCTCTTGTCCTTTCCCTTTAGAGATTCCTTCTAAGACAATCTCAGAATGAAAATATTATGTCATCAATCTAGAGACTTTAATAAGCACACTTGCCCAGCTTTTTTTTATTCTAAACTTAAAACACCAAAAAGCATTTCCATATGCTCAACAAAATACAAGATTCCTCTAGAAAACTGAAATCTCCATTTCATACTACCTACTTTTTTAAAGTATATAATTTCTAGACATAACTTTCAAAACTGTCCTGCTTATCTTCTTCCTTCTGGACTTTCTTCTGTTCTCTGTGCATTTTTAAAGGGATTTCAATAGATTTTTTTTCTTGGTATCACTATTGCTATGCCTTTCTCCCTCCCCCTATTAGAAATCAAAAGAAAGAAAAGAAAAAAATATCTTGTAACAAGTTAGCATAATCAAGCCAAATGAATCAGTGCTGGGGGCATGTCTATAGATATATGTTTCTTCATCTTGTGTCCATCACCTTTTTGTCAGGAGCTGGATATCATGCTTTGCTGTAAATCCTCCAGAGACCTGGTCGGTCACTGCATTCATCAAGTTCTCAAGTCTTTTTTTCCTTCTTAAGTTGTTTTTCTTTACAGTGTTGCTCTCTATGTATTATTGTTTTCCTGGTCCAGTTTACTTAACTGTGCATCAGTTCATACTACCCAGGATTCTCTGAAATAATTTCTTCCATTTTATTTTGGTGCAATTATATTCCAGTATATTCATATCTCACTATTTGTTCACACATTCCTCAGTAGTCTAGATGCAAGTTAAAGGACCCCTGTTGTATTATAGTTCTTTATTTTGTTTTTTCCTTTTATTTCTCCCTTCAGTATAGGAAATTTGTTTTACTTGTGGTTATTCCCTGCCTGATATTATTTTCCCTCTTAACCACTTCCCCAGCCTGTATCTCAGCTTTTTTCTTTGTCATGACTGATGTATTTCTGCACCAAACTCTGTGTGAGTGTGTGTGTGTGTGTGTGTGTGTTCATGTTGAAACTTCCTTTCTCCGTTACTGATAGGTGAGGTCCAGTGAGGTCCATTGTCCACTCCCAGTCCTGTTTGATTGTATCCTCTACTCACATATCCCAATTATGAAATAACAGGTTATACCCACTTCTTCCTCTTTTATACTTTACTGTTGTATATATACTATACTAGTATAGTCTGTACTAGTGTACTAATCCACTATACTAGTGTAGTCCTTTTAACCTTCCCTTCTCTTTCCATTCTTCAAGACTTCAAAATAGAATTGGTCCACCCCTGGGACTTCTGTTTTTTTCTTATTTAATTCCCTCAATACCCTTTGAAGACATTAAGGGACACCTTTTTCTCCCTCTAGTAGAATGCTAACTGTACATCATCATCTGTCTTCCACTTGCCCAAATGTATTTCATTTTTCTATGTTTCTCTTGACTCTTATGCTTATATTTCAAAGTTCTACTTAGCTCTGGTTTTTTCATCAAAAATATTTGAAAGTTCTCTAAAGGTCCACTTTTTTTCCCATGTAGGATTGTACTCAGTTTTGCAGATTAAATTATTCTTGGTTGTAAGACTATATCTTTTGCCTTTTGTAATACCGCATTCTAAGATCTACTTTTGTTTAATGTAGAAGCTGCTGGGTCTGTGGTCCCTTGGTACTTGAAATGCTTTTTCTATGTGTTGTCAGTATTTTTTTTCCTTTGACTTGTGAACTCCGTTTTGGCTGGTATTCATAGGATTTTCCTTTAGAGGGTTATTTCAGGAGATGGTCAGTGAATTCTTTCTATGTTCTTTTTGTCCTCTGGTTCAAACAGATCTGGTCAATTTTCATTTATTTTTCTTTGAAATATAGTATCTGTGCTTTTTATTCATTGGTCATGCTTTTCAGGGAGTTCATTGATTCTTATCTGTCCTTGACTTGTTTTATAGGTCAGTTTTTTTTAAAATATGTCATCTTCTATTTTTTCAGTCTTTTGATTTTGCTCTAATATTTCTTGCTGTCTCATGGAGTCATTGATTTCTGTTTTGTCTATTCTAGTTTTCAGGGAGTCTTATTTGATTGAGGTTCATTGTTTTCTGTTCCAAACTATTCTTCCAGTCTTTTTTTCCAGAGCTTTTATTTATTTTTTTAATCTCCTGCATCATTTCTTCTATATACTCATATATTTATGGAAAGCCTTTTTGCCCCCTTTGGGTTTTTGCTTCAAGTATTTATGAGTTTATTTGCCCCTTTTTGGAAATCTCTAGATCTATGATGATTTTTGATACTTGTCACTGTTTTGCTAATTTTTCAATTTGCCTCTCTTTCTAGCTTTGTTTTAGTTCCTGAATGATCCTAGGGCCACCTGCTGCACTTTTGGGTGGGGTGGTTGGCCCCTCTTGTTCTCACCTTGTGTCACCTGGTTTCTTATGCCAGCCTCTGTCTCCTGGGATTAGACCTCTCCACTCCTCCATGCAGATAATTCAGGTTCAGAGTTCTGGATCTGTAGGGCCATTTCTGATGTCTAAGGACAGTATTAGGAATTTAGAGCCTTGGTACTTGATTAGGAGTTTAGAGTCACTGCTGGCTGCTCACTGTCAGCTTCTACTTCCAAAGTCACCACTCTAGGGCTTTGGGGAATGGAGGTGTGGGGTGACTCCACTCTTGCTGCCTGTAGAAGTGTAGCCTTATAATGGACACCTTATAATAGGCTATGTATATCTGGTCATACTGGGAGGCTACCTTCTCCTGGTGTTGGCAAAGGCCTTGATGGCAACCCCATTTCCTATTGCCCTTGGGCTTCTGGCTGGGTAGTTTCTCATTAGATTTTTTAAAAATGTATTTTTTTTTTTAGTTCTAAATTCCCACCCACCCCTAACCCCTTGAGAAGGCTACCAATATATCAGATATACATGTGAAATCATGCAAAACATTTCCATATTAGCCATCTCATTGGATTCCTTGACAATTAGTCAATCTGGTGTGAACTTCGTGGTTTTGCTACAGTAGGTATGCAGAAGTTGGGTAGTCTACCTCCCATTTAAACACATATCTTGGCTGGAAGATCTCAGTAAATAAAAGTTTTCTTTAAAAGAAAAGGATCATAAGACAGAATCAGTGAAGCAAAAAAACAAAAACAAAAAAAAAAAAAAAACAAGAATCTACAGAAAGTTTAGCAAGAGATATGAAGAGCCTCCTTTCCAGAAGTCATGATTTCATAATGCTTGATTGCATGCCATGATTCCACCAGACTAACTCATTGAGGAGATAGCCCTGAACATCCTGTTCAACGTGGCTACAGTGGTATCTGATGTAGGAATGTCTGAGAAGAGAGGGGTGGTTTTTTGTTTATTGTTTAAAAGAAAAAAAGTAGTAGAGGGTAGGAAAAGGTTATTGCTTAGAGAATCTTTTCAGAGCACTATGCCTTTCAGGAGAAGGAGCAGAAAAAATGATGCCTGATCTCATTCCATCTCCTATCTTTCCTGGCTACCTTCAGATCTCAACTAAAATCCCACCTTCTACAAGAAGCCTTTCCCAATACC